AATCCTTTAAGCCAGTACTCAAATCATTTACTCCTCACGATAACCAAAATCATAATTATACCGCTGCGGCGTGCAGCTCGATCCATATAGTATACTGTTGCGGCGTGCAGCCCGATCCATATATATATATATATATATATATATATATATATATATACACACTACTGCGGCGTGCAGCCCGATCCAATAATAATAGTCGACTGCGCTCATTGGGGGTGTGCAGACTCAGCAGGGGCTCCTTCAGCCCAAACGCTATGCTACTGCGGCGTGCAGCCCGATCCGTATAAATATATATACTGCTGCGGCGTGCAGCCCGATCCAATACGTATCAAATATCCTCACAATGGGGTTCTCAACCCCTCTCTGTCAATATAAACTTAGCCCCTCGGGCATACTAAGATAGGATAGGGACTCTAGCCCACATGTTACTCTCATTTTTGGTTAAGCTATTTAGAGCCAGTTCGTATTTTATTAAGCGATTAGAAACATGACTGAGGGTATGATTTTTACCGAGTAAAGTGAGGTTGATCAGTACAAATACCCCTAAGGGTTCTATAGGTCGGCACAAGGCCCCAAACATGGCAACTATCCCAAACTAACATTATATTAATTAAACCTCGTCAAAATACAATAGAATCAGCAATCGGGATGGACCATGTCCAAATCCCCAGCAGTAATGGACCCCACGCTCATCATGCGGCGTGTGTCTCACCTCAACATAGCACTATGTGGTGCAATTCCGGGGTTTCAAACCCTCAGGACATCATTTATAACCATTACTCACCTCAAGCTGGCCAAGGTCCTAGCTCGCTATGCCCTTGCCTCGCAAATCAACCTCCTTGTGCGTAGAATCTGATCAAAACCATAAGGAATACATTACAATAGGCTAAGGGAACATAACCCAATCGAAAAGACTCGAAAATTATCAAAAATCACGAAGTTGGCAAAATCCGAGCCCCGGGCCCACTTCTCGAAAAATTACAAAATTCACATCACCGGATTCCTCGTCTCGCCACGAGTCTATACATATCAAATTTACCAAAATCCGAGCTCAACTGCTCCCTCAAATCCCAAATTTTCATTTCGAAAGTCAAGTCCTAGTTCTTCCAATTTTACTCAAATTTCCATGAATTTAAGGGTTGATTCTTCAATAAAATGATGTTTCTAAGCCATAGGACTCACCTCCAATCGATTCCCAGTCAAAACCCTCTTTAAACCTCGTCAAAAGCTCTCAAGGATACTCAACAATGGAGGAAATGGGACTTGGTTCGCGGATGAAATGTTACAAAAAAACCTTCTGTCCAGCTATAATTTCTTCTACGCGATCGCGGCTCTAGGCTCGCGATCGCGATGAGAAAATTCCCAAGGCTTCAAAAACTTTCTATGCGAACGAGACAGGGGCTCCGCGATCGCGATGCTTCACTTTCCAAACCTACGCGAACGCGGCTCATGTGATGCGAACGCGATGAATAAAATATGCTGGCCCCAAAATCCTCTTATGCGAACGCGGGCTGTACCACGCGAACGCGAAGCTTCCGCTTCCAATGCTATGCGAACGCGTCCCAATGACTGCGATCGCGAAAGCCAAATCCCCTCTGCAATAACTGCTAAAAACCTGCAACTTTTAAGAGCCAAACTTGGTCCGATTGACCATCCAAAATCACCCCGAGGCCCCCGGGACCTCAACCAAAAGCACCAACACATCCTAAAACATCATTCAAACTTGTTCCAATCATCAAAACACATCAACCAACTCTAAAACCATTAAATCACCTCGGATTCAAGCCTAAGTTTCTTAAGAACTTCCGAAATACGCATTTGATCAAAAACCCAACCAAAACACCTCTGAATGACCTGAAATTTTGCACACACATCCAAAATTACCTAACGAAGCTACTGCAACTCTCGGAATTCCATTCCGACCCCCGGATCAAAATCTCACCTACCAACCGGAATTCGCCAAAATACTAACTTCGCCAATTCAAGCCTAATTCTACACCGGACCTCCAAAATCAATTCTGATCGCACTCCTAAGTCACAAATCATCCCCTGAAGCTAACCGAATCACCGAAAATCACATCTGAGCCCTCTAACTCAATAGTCAACATCCGGTTGACTTTTCCAAAATAAGTCTTCCTTAAAGAGACTAAGTGTCTCATTTCCCATCTAAAACCAATCCAATTCGACTCGATCACCTCAAATACCGATAATGAAGCATAGAGAAACATGAGATGGGGGAAACGGGGCGGTAACTCACGTGACGACGGGCCGGGTCATCACACCATGCCAGCCTTTGATTCTTCCTAGCACCTTAGAGATAAGACCATTGAAGTACATAATTCTGATTCTGCATGTGTACAGAGGGCATCCTAGGTATGTGAGAGGTGAATCTTTTCTATAGAAGCTTGTCTCCCTTTGAATTCTTCTGACTGCACTTGGCAGAACACATGGAGCAGTCATGAAAGGACTCTTGTGCCTATTAATGAGTTGGCCAGATGTGCTCTCATAATTGCTAAGAATCCACATGATTTTCCTCAGGGATGTTCTTCTCCCAGAAGTAAAGATGATGATATCACCAGCAAAACTTAAGTGGTTAATTTGAGGTCCCCTTTTCTGCATATAGAATCCATGAAATGGCTGATCATGATTCAGCAAGTTGAGCATTCTGGATAGGAGTTCAGCTCCTATGATGAATAGAGAAGGAGCAAGTGGATCACCCTGTTTGAGGCCTCTTGTAGATTGGAAAAAGCCACATCTGGTGCCATTAACTATGACTGAATACCAGTTATTGGACATTGTTCTCCAGATCATGTCAATGATCATTTCACTGAAACCCATTCTCCTGAGCATAATGCAGGTAAAACTCCAGGAGACTCTTTCATAAGCCTTAGCCATGTCATGCTTGATGACCACATTTGATCCCATAGTTGGCTTCTTGATACCATGCACTATTTCTTGTGCAAGCATAATGTTTTGAGAGATGTTTCTGCCTTTAACAAAGCCTGATTGATTTGCAGAGATTATCTTTGGAAGGATAGGGCCAAGTCTTGAACCGATGACCTTGGAAATGATCTTGTTGATGAAACTGCTGAGACTGATTGGCATAAGTTATGTGAGACAGTTAGGGAATTCAACCTTGGGCAAGAGAACAAGGCATGCATTGGTCATATATCTGGGCATTGGACTGCCTCTAAAAAATGCTAGCACCACCTTGAATAAGTCTTCCTTGATCACTTCCCAGCAGGCTTGGTAAAACTTCCCATTCATACCATCAGGTCCTGCTGACTAATAGGATTCATGGAGAATACAATGTCCTTGAGCTCTAACATAGATGGGTCTCTGGTGAGTATGGCATTGTCTTCACTAGTTATCATGGTTGGAATAATGGACAACAAGTCTTCTCTAATAACTGAGCCAGGATTTGTGAAAAGGTGTTGAAAGTAATCACAGGCAGCCTTCCCAATGTTTTCATCACCCTGAAATCACTCACCTTCTTCATTTTTGATTTTGTGGATGTATAATTTCCTTCTTCTTCCTCTGATTAAGCTGTGGAAGTATCTAGAATTGGCATCCCCTTCTTTAAACCATTGCAGTTGGGTTTTCTGTTTCAGAACATCTTGCTCAACCTTCAAATGTCTAACATACTGAGCCTTGAGCTCATTGAGAGATATTCTGTCAGCATCATTGTTTGTTTGGGCCCAGATCAGCTCTGCATCCTTCACCTTTTGTCAGATCAGCTCTGCATCCTTCACCTTTTGTTCATACTCTTTGGTTTTTTGGAAGATATCCCCATATTGTTTTCTGGACCATAGGCTTAGGGCATGGCTCAGAGCTTTCAGCTTTGGGTGAAACACCCACATAGGATTACCTCTGACTTCTCTGTTCCATATTTCTGAAACCAGTGGTAGAAAACTTTGGTTATCCACCCAACAGTTGAGAAATTTGAAGTACTTTTTACCATTATCCTGTCTTGTATGAAGTTCCAATAGCAGGGGGTTGTGATCAGATCCCGCTGAACCTAAATGAGTAATTGTGGCAGCAGGAAAGGCTTCTAGCCATAAATCATTGACTAATCCCCTGTCCAATCTTTTCCATACAACAGCACATTTCCCCCTTCCATTGGACCATGTGACTTTAGACCCATAGAAACCCAGATCCATAAGTCCACAGTCCTCCATCATGCTCAGAAAATCAAGGCTTTTGGACATTTGGTATGAAATGCCACCAATCTTTTCTTCTACAGAGGCAATGACATTAATATCTCCAACGACACACCATGGCACATTACAGGTAGTTGATTTGTGTCTAAGGACTTCCCACAAAGGTCTTCTGAGAATTGGCTTACACTTTGCATAAATGAGTGTTAGGTGGAACAGATTGCCATTTTCAACATGCTTCATTTCTAATGACAACTGTCGTTCATCATGATCTAAAACCTTGGCATTGAATTCCTTATCCCAAAATACCCAGTTCTTATCATTAACATTAGCAGCAACTTGATGCATTGAAAGTTGGATTTTAAAGTAATTGAGGTGAGAATTGTCTAGGAAAGGTTCAAGGACAGCTATGAAAGAGAGGTTATGTATTTGTTTCAGGAGTTTGAGCCTTTCAATGGCTCCAGAGGTCCTGATGCCTCTTGCATTCCAAATGATTGTACTAATCATTGGAAAGAGGGTTTTGAGTTGTATTTTGGTGGGACACTGCTGCTTCTGATTCTAGCAGTCCTGTTTCTGGTAAGCCTTGGAGTGGGATTTTTTCTGGCAGATAGGGTGGCAGATGCAACAGTTTCCTTATTTGGTTCATCATTAACTGCAGCAATTAGCAACTCACAATGTTCTTCTTTTTCATGATCATCATCATTAAAGGCAATATCATCATCATCATGATTTCCAGCACTTTCATCCTCAGACTCAATTGGTCTATACTCATCCTGCAGTGGAGTGTATCTGTTGAGTGGGGGTTCCTTCATGACCATATCTAAGGAACTTAAGAGGTGGTTTTTTCTGGGAGTGCTTGGGGGGACAGAGGTGGAGTTGTGAGGTTTGGATTTGGGAGGATTATCATTGGTGGGCATATTTGTTTCATTGCCATCAGAGCTCGGTTCTTTATTGGTTAAGAGAGGTTGTAAGAGTAAGGGATTGGCTATGACTGAGTGTCTATAACCAGGGGATTCAACATGATCAAGTCTGAATTTTTCCTGACTTTGAGGGCCCAAAAACTGGGAATCATCAGGGGGCTCATTTAAACTGATTCCTGCATTTCTGTTTCTCATAGTCTTCCTTTTTTTCTGGCTAGGCTTATTTTTTGATTTCTGAGTCTGAACCTGAAAATCAGCAGCAACTTTGGCTTTTCCTTTAAGGAAAGCTTTCATTTGTGCAGATAGATTCTCTTCAGAGCTTAAGGACTCAAAGTCTTCCTCCTCAGTCACACTATCATATTGATTAACTTGCTGTGAGTCTGAATTGGGGAGTGTGGTAGCAGGGGTTTGTTGGTCAATCCTATGGTCAGCCAATTGTGCATTAGCACACTCATGCAAAACATGAGGAAACCCCTCCCCATTTGGAGCCCAATTTAATTATGTTTAATTATTAGTATAGGTTCATAGCAGTAGGGCCTCTTTGTAATAAGCACTATTACTGCATAATGGTTTGAATATGGCACGAATTGTGCCAGACTTGCAACAAAGCCCAACATGGGACTCATTTGAGCAAGTCTGGGACCAGGCGAATGGGCCTGGGCATTAAACCTAGTAGCATGATCCTTAATTGTGAAGTTTTCTTTGAGAATCATAGTATAAACACATGCTATTATGTGTTGCTAATTCTACGATTAATTTTAAACTAGCATTTGATCTTTGAATGCTGATTTTTACTTAACAGCAATCGAATATAACTGTTGTGAGTATGCAAATTTGGTTAATTTGGTCGTACAGGTGGACAGGACCAGCTAGAAAACATGTAGTAACTGGGCCCGCCTAAATACAAATCCAATATGGGCTGTTTGAGTCAGACTCAACAAGAGTCTTTGAGCCTCTTCACTTCTGGGCCAAACTCTAGCCCAATATAGTTCCAAAGTGGCCGATTATCCTTAAATGAGTGAGTGATGGGCCATTGTTGATCCAAACTCCTTTTCAGCAATAATTAAAAGGCTTAGTTTTTCACCCTTAGCATGTCCTTGATTCAAAAGCCTCTTAGTGATTTTCAAATGAGGATTGAAATTTTGAGTATCCTTAACTTGGTTTAGTGGACTACAATCCTTTTAAAATAAAATTGAGGTGTGCCATACACAAACAAAAATTCATAAGCTATGGCCCTCACATTAATATTAACTTAGTATAGAAAATACCTTCGAACATCCGTAGCTTGCTTTAGGCGCATTTTATAATATTCGTGGCTATGGGTACGATTCCCGTGGCATAGTCATGATACCTAATTTGCAAATTCGGGGGTGCATTTCATGTAACCCGATCATAACAACTTCGAATATTAATAAAATAAACATGTCGTGAATCGCGGGTGCATTTCATGTAGCGTGGTTCGCGGCGTGTTCCAAAATAACTTGTTCAAGAAATAATCCCATAAATCCTAAAAACGGTTTAAATTAAAAAAATGCGGCTATAAAGTTTAAAATGCACAATAGGTTTAAAACATGTATTAATCAGATAATTAGGCCATTATTAATTGTTTAACCGACCGTGCTAGAACCACAGAATCGGAAAATGCCTAACACCTTCTCCCGGGTTAACAGAATTCCTTATCTAGAATTTCTGGTTCGCAGACTTTTAAATAAAGCCAAATTTCCTCGACTTGGGATTTTAAAATAAACCGGTGACTTAGGACACCAAATAAACTATTCCAAGTGGCGACTCTGAATTAAATAAATAAAATAATCCCATTTCGATTTATGTCACTTTAATTGGAAAAACTCTCTTATATCCCCCTCTGGTGTAAAAAGGAGGTGTGACATGTGGCGACTGTAGAGTTGCATATTTTGATAAATTTTGTATGATATCGATGTGTTTTAGAAACGAATATGTTAACTTGGACTGAATGCCATGTTTGGGGCCTTGTGCCGAACTGTTTGGGACCTTAGGGGTATTTACTAGTTTTCTTACACTGTTTTGATTTGAAAGCATATCCTCAGTAATGATTTTTCATGTTCATTGTTGATTCAGTTTCATTACTCTACTTTCAAATATATGAAAACTGTTTGGGCTGAGTTCTCTAATTTTCACTGAAATGCCCGAGTGGCTGTGAGTTTAATGACTGAGAGAGAGAGAGGTCGAGGACCTGATGGTGAGGATTATATATATCTATGGACGGGTTGCATGCCACATCGATATTTATATATGTTTACCGTGAAAATGGTAACACCAATTAAATTTGATTATGAAGTTCTAAAAATACGTGATCTATTTTTATGCTAGTTGTTAAGAAATGGATGCTAGGTAAAAGGTTAGAAATCAGGATTATGTCTTAGGGACGGTAAGATAATCGAACCAAACAGTTGGAGATCAGGGGCCTCGAGCCGTCGATTATAAGACCTCGGGGTCGAGCTGGATGGCCGATTCAGAGCAGTCGAGAGAGAGATAACAGTTATGAGAGCTATGATGATGGCTCTTTATGATCAATGATAATCAATAAATGAAGAACAATAAATAGAACACAATGAATATAAGCAATAAATGAAGTAATGAAATCAAGAGAATATGTTAGAGAGCAGAGAGAATGTTCTTGTGTATTTAGTATTGAGCATCAGATCCTTACAAAATGACAATGATCCTCTATATATATGAGGGGAAATCCCAACATAGTACAAATGCATTAATTACAAAGATATGGGCTGGTACAGTCATTTAATGTCTTGATTCGTTTTTGGACTAGTCCACTAGGCTTTGTCAACTACATGTACGCGCCTTGGGAACTTCACCTTGATCCGCTAAGACCACTAATTTACATTGCCTCGAGGCCGATCGTTACTTACACTATCTCGAAGTCGATCACCGAGAATCCTCGGAGTCGATCACTGGAAATTCTCAAGATGCCTTGATGATCGTAAAATCGAACCGTCAATTTTTACTGTATACAGATAGTCCCCGCGTTTCCTAGAACAAAGTGATAGGAAACAATTTTGAACTCCTACTTCATAAGCATCATCATCAAGACGTCAGCCCATCAGAGCATTAAATGCCATAACCCAAAAGCCGCGCAAGGGTCACCGTCAAACACGACTATCGAGAAGCCCACGAACCGCTATTGGTTCGTCATTTCCGCTGCCCATATGGCTCCTATAAATGCATCAGTCGTTTTATAATTCACACTTTTACAACATCTTCAAGTTTTCAAGGCCAAATCCATCCCCTTTCACATTCTTTCTTCTTCCCTTCTTGATTCTTTGCCTACTTTCTCAGAAAAGCCTTTCCGCCACCATGGCTAGAACTTCTAAGACAGTTCCTCAAAAAGACGAGGCTGCCTCCTCATCTCGGACATCCAAAAGCAAATCCAAGGATATGCCCAAAGTGTCTCCTACCGTCGAACAATGTACACCCATCGAGTTCAATTGCACGAAAGATTTCTCCATCATGATACCTTCATCTATGCCTGGTCGATGCGAACATGTATCCCGGTTCATCAGCGCCCTAAAGAGAGCATAACGGACCATAAGGCCGGTTTTCTTAAAGTGTACACATACCCGTTCACCTTAGGCCCTGTCGACTCCTCGAACCCTTCTTCTCTGTCCATAGATCCGGTCATTCTCGACTTTTGTTGTAAATACCAGGTGACGCTTGGCCAAATTTACCCCTCTCTATGGAGGATAGTTTACATGCTTCGCCATTTTTCCATTAAGACCGAGAGTAAGACCTCTACCCTCGATCATCTAATCAGGCTATACAGCCCCCATCTTTTTCGAGGCTTGATCAAGCATCACCATCGAGCATCGAAACCCTTTTTCTCGAGCATTGACGAGCATAAGGATCGGGGGTGGATCAGCCGGTTTGTCCGAGTGAGGACCTCGGACATTATTCCGACCAGGTGCATGCCATTCCCGGAGGTGTGAAACACGGAGCGTAAGTGCCTCTTCTTTAGGCATGCTTTGTTGTCTTTTTTTCTTTCTTCAAAAAAGCTAACTT